TCCCAGAGCCTGGACACTGGCGATACTGGCGTCGAGGTCTTCGACGTTGATGTAGATCAGCCATTGCGGGGGGAGACTGGCCTCCACTCCTCGGGCGTGCCGACTCCGGCGACTTCTGCCCTGGCCATTCGTGGCTCAGCAGAGACTTAGTCGCGTCGTAGCCGGCGCCCTGTCGACTGTAATCGTCTTCGCCGACACCTCCGAGAGGACATGCGAACGTCCTCCGCGTTCCCAACGGTCAGGTCTTACCAGCCGATTCTGCCCGGACGTGTGTCGCGACCCTTGTTGGTCGCTTCGTCGTCATGTTTGTCGATGCGCTTGCGAGAGGCGAGAGATCAATGGTGGAACCGAGGGAAATCGAACACCTCACCTCCGCCGCGCCGTTTGGGGGGGCCAGGGTCGGCGCTCTCCTGCTCCTACTGCCCCTTATCCCACGACACCCTGATCTACGCGCACTCGACCTGCTGTCTAGATGCAGCCACTGGACTTTGTTGCGCAGGCGCTCCGGGCAACGATCCAGCCGACAATCCCTACACCCGCAGCAACGGACGATCTGGCGACTCGGCCTTGTGCCCAGTGTCTGATTCATGGGGTCGGGGATCATGTCACCAACCTCCTCCTCACCCTGACCGATTAGCGCGTCGGCGCCCTCGGGGACGACGATGCAGTTGGTCGGCATCGAACGGTCACCGATTTCGATGGAAAGCGGGCCGGCGACAGGCAAGTTGCCTCGTCGGCCATCGGCATACGTCGTGGCGACCGTGCTGACGTAGGACAGACCCAGACGCATCGCACGACATCCTGCGGCAAGGCCAGCATCACCGCCCCCGTATATCCGCCACCGCCTTGATTGTCTCGCGCCGCACCTCGGACTCCGCCCGCGAGCCGCCCTCCGCCTGCGCATCGTGCATCGTCCTCCAGCCGATATCCCAACAACTCACACGTGGCGCTCCAAACTGCCGCCATCATCCACTAGCAGTCCCCGATTCGCTCGCCGAATCGCATCGATATCAGTCCCGTCCCCATCCCCGACCACCAACCAACGAACGGAGTGCCACAAGCCCGAACTCCCGCCTCCCTAACAGACCAAAACCAACAAAAGGTACGGACCACGCGAACACGAAGCGCTCAGCTAGCGTAGTGCAAGCAAAGACGGTGTCATCGATGGTGGAGCCGAGGGGGCTCGAACCCCTGACCTCCGCCGTGCAAGGGCGGCGCTCTCCCGGCTGAGCTACGGCCCCGGGATGGTCATTTTAGCGTCTGGCGAGCCCTTGGGCCGCCGAACTCGAAATGCGACCCTCCAGGCCGCTGGACGCGAAAACACCCGCCTGTGTCGTGACGGAGACTTCTGGTTGGTGGGGTCCATCCTGACTTCGAACTCAGGACCCTCAGTCTTATCAGGACTGCGCTCTAACCTGCTGAGCTAATGGCCCGGGATGGCCTTGGGTCCGCGATTCGCTCGAATCGCGGCCCAGGGTCGGCCTTAACCGTTGGAGAGCGAAAGTCAGTGCGCTTGTGAAACCATAATCACGCCGTTGACTCGTTGGCTTCGGCCCGGGTTAGGGGCGTCGGCCTCAGGGCGCCTCTCACAGCAATGACGAGCATTGCTGTCGGCTGGCGGATCGACCTGGGAGCTCGACCGATTCCCACCGAGGCGGGGTCGATCGGCATTCTCCCTAGAAAGGAGGTGATCCAGCCGCAGCTTCCGCTACGGCTACCTTGTTACGACTTCGTCCCAGTCGCGAGTCCCACCTTCGGCGGCTGCGTCCCGAAGGTTCGCGCACCGACTTCAAGTGTTACTCACTCCCATGACGTGACGGGCGGTGTGTACAAGGCCCGAGAACGTATTCACCGCAGTATGGCTGACCTGCGGTTACTAGCAACTCCGGCTTCAAGCAGGCGAGTTTCAGCCTGCTATCCGAACTGGGGCCGGTTTTAAGGGATTCGCTCCTGCTCGCGCAGTGGCTGCCCGTTGTACCGGCCATTGTAGCGTGTGTGTCGCCCTGGGCGTAAGGGCCACGCTGACTTGACATCGTCCCCACCTTCCTCTGCGTTGTACGCAGCGGTCTCGCTAGAAAAATACAACTAACGACGAGGGTTGCGCTCGTTGCGGGACTTAACCCAACACCTCACGGCACGAGCTGACGACAGCCGTGCAGCACCTGTGATCCGGCCCCGAAGGGAAACAGGCTTTCACCTGCGATCCGGACCATGTCAAGCCCAGGTAAGGTTCTTCGCGTTGCATCGAATTGAACCACACGCTCCGCTGCTTGTGCGGGCCCCCGTCAATTCCTTTGAGTTTTAGCCTTGCGGCCGTACTCCCCAGGCGGGATGCTTATTGCGTTAGCTGCGTCACAGAGGGGGTCGATACCTCCCACGACTAGCATCCATCGTTTACGGCGTGGACTACCCGGGTATCTAATCCGGTTCGCTACCCCACGCTTTCGTACCTCAGCGTCAGGATGCGCCTGGCAAGCCGCTTACGCCACTGGTGTTCCTCCCGGTATCTACGCATTCCACCACTACTCCGGGAATTCCGCTTGCCTCTACGCCCCTCAAGCACCACAGTTTCCATCGGCCGCTCCCGGTTGAGCCGGGAGATTTCACGACAGACTTATAGCGCCGCCTACGTACTCTTTACGCCCAGTAAATCCGGATAACGCTCGCCACCTACGTCTTACCGCGGCTGCTGGCACGTAGTTAGCCGTGGCTTATTCGCCGGGTACCGTCAAAATTCTTCCCCGACAAAAGGGTTTTACAACCCGAAGGCCTTCATCACCCACGCGGCGTTGCTGCATCAGGCTTTCGCCCATTGTGCAAGATTCCTCGCTGCTGCCTCCCGTAGGAGTCTGGGCCGTATCTCAGTCCCAGTCTGGCTGATCATCCTCTCAGACCAGCTACCGATCGATGCCTTGGTAGGCCGTTACCCCACCAACTAGCTAATCGGACGCAGGCTCCTCCCTAGGCGCCGGAGCATTTCCCCACCGGTCCGATCCGGTGGGCGTATGGAGCATTAGCTCGCGTTTCCACGAGTTGTTCTCCTCCTTGGGACAGATCACCTACGCGTTACTCAGCCGTTTGCCACTCAGTCACCACCCCGAAAGGTGGGCTTCGTTCGACTTGCATGCGTAAGGCACGCCGCCAGCGTTTATCCTGAGCCAGGATCAAACTCTCCATTGGTTCAGCCGGTCATGCCGGCTGCAAAAGTAGAGATTGTACGGACATCGCGACCGCCGCCACTCCCGAAGGAATTGCGACGATTTTTGTGTCCGGACTTGGGGGGGCTCCCCAAGCACACTGGACTTCCGCTCTCCAATTGTTAAGGCTGGCATCTGCCGAACGCTCATCAGGCTTCTTGCCGAGCGGTGCGTTCTGCATTTGCGCAGAAGACAATCTTAGCCCGGCGCGATCCAAGAAGTCAACCGCGCGCAATGTCCGGTGGACTACTTCCCTCGATCGTCACCGCGCCGCCCGCCACACGCAGACAGACGCCCTCCGGCAGCTCGACCACGCCATGCCCGTTGTGAATCACCTGCAGCGCCGACGCCGTGCGCTCGGACGACAGCGTCACGCCGTGCGCCTGGGTGAACGACCGGATCACTCTGACCTGCAACTGACCGGGCAGCGAGAGCAACAGCCGTCGAGGCAGCCCGCCGTCCTCGTCCAGAATCTGCTCCAGCGCCTGCCGACCAACCAGATCGAGCAGCTCACGATCGGAGCCGACCGACCGGGCCAGTTCCGCCAATCGCTCGGTGACATTCGGATTGATTGCCTGCATCAACGGCAGGAGCGACCGTCGCACACGGTTTCGCGTGTGAATGAGGTCGTCGTTGGACGGATCGTGCGCAGGCGTCCAGCCGTACGCCTGGCAGACGGACTCGGTCTCGGCCCGACTCACATCGAGCATCGGACGCACCAGCGCCACCTCGTCGCTCAAGGGACGCACCCGAGGCATCCCACTCAGACCGTCGAGCCCTGATCCGCGCAGGATGTGCAACATGACTGTTTCAGCCTGATCGTCCTGCGTGTGGGCAGTGGCGACCGCAGGCCCTCCTAACGAGAGCGCCAGGTCGTTCAGCGCTCGATACCGGACGCGCCGCGCGGCAGCTTCCAGTCCATCTGAGGACGAGTCGGCTTCCGACGAGGCGTCGGCCTCCACGATCTCGAGCGGCACACCGGCTGTGGCGGCCAGCTCAGTAGCGGACGCGCGGAACTCATCCCGGACCGATGCTGCCTGAATCAGGTGGTCAACGTGCGCAGCATGAACTCGCCATCCATGTCGCGACTGCGTGTCGGACAGCAGGAGGAGCAAGGCAGATGAGTCCGCCCCACCCGATACGGCAACAATCAGTTGGCGTCCGGCGCCCGAACCGACGTTCTCGACCAGTTGCCGAGCCACACCCCGTCCGATTTCACGGATGCGGCGGTCGGTCGGCAAGGTCACAACAGGCTCCGGGCGCTGCGGGCACTGCGGGCGCTGTAGGCGCTGCGGACACTCTGATCAGTGGCGCTATTCAGCGCCTTCCGGGAGCAGGTTCGCCCACCATGGCGAGCGGGTGATCTCGAGCTGTCCCCGTCTCGGCGCGTGGACGCCGAACGCCTCTTCACCGGGCCGCACCATGCCCAGGTCCTCGCGGGCGATGCGTTCGATGTAGGCATCAGAGTCCAGCCAGGCGACCAATGCCGCGAGTTGATCGGAGTCTCGTTGGAGCTCCGCAATCTCGGCTCGGGTTTCGATGATTCGACTATCAAGGCTATTGGCTTGCAACAGCCCTTCGACGCCGCTGAAGACGACGAACCCCACCAACAACAACGAAGAAATGAATGCGACGCGACGAATCAACCACGGCAACGGAGCCGGCGTTGGGGACCGCCCGGGCATCGGCGGCAGAGCCTCAGCGGGCTCCGTCACCAGTTCGACCGATCGGTCGACCATTGTCTCAGCCATGATTCGCGATCAACGCCGCCGCCGATGGCACTCTACACCCGCCGTCGAGGCGTCAGAGACCGTTGAGGTGATGTCGATCGTTTAATCGTTCCACCGCCGGCACGCCGTCAGCGATGCGAAATGTCGTGACGCCGGCCAGACCGGTGTCGATCCGTCGCCAGGCATGATTCGGCATCGCCAGCGCATACACAACCAGCATCTTGACGACAAAGTTGTGCGTGACGATCAGTCCGGTTCCCTCCGCTGGGTCGGCGACCAGTTCGTCGAATACCGGACGAGCCCGCTCCAACACGTCCAACAACGACTCGCCACCAGGCATCGGTTCACTCGACAGAGTCGTTGCCTCGCCAGTTGTTGAGAAACTCGCCGAACCGTTCTCGCACGATCGGCCACTCAACGCCCTCAAGTTCACCGACATCCAGTTCAAGCAATCCGTCGGACGGCGTCGCTTCGACTCCATGTGCATCGGCGATCGCCTCGGCCAGTCTCCGCGCCCGAGAGAGCGGGCTGGTGACCACGCGCGTAATCGGCTCGGTCCGCAACGCCTCGACGGTCGCTTGCAACTGCTGAAGTCCAAGTTCGGTCGGGGGGGAATCAGTCCGACCGAGACCGACGCCCGATTTGTTGGCTTCCGATTCGACGTGTCGCAGAACGATGATGCGATTCATGCCGTCACAGCTTTTGCAGCAAGCTCGCCGTCCAACTCGATCGCGGTACGGTGAATCATCGTCGGCTCCTCCGAGGCGCCGAGGGCGATGGCGACCTGCTCGGGCCGTCCGGCTCCGCGCTCGTCGTTGCGCAGCCGCATCCACAGCGTTGCCACGCCGTCCAAGACGTTGCGAACCTCAATCTCAAGGATGAGCGGCCGCAGATCGTACGACTTGGTCTCCTTGCCACGCTGTTGACTCCAGGGAATCTCGTCTCGCGCGAGAAGTTCATCAACCGCGCGTTGCCAATCCTGCGCGGAGCGAGGGTCAGAAATCTCCACCTCGTAACAGGCGGCCCGCAGCATCGATTGCAGCGACGACTGCTTCAGCAGGCCTTCGTGAATCTCAAGGACTCTCAGTCCGGGCGTCAGCTGGGCTGAGAGTTTCCGCATCGTCGATTCCAGTTCCACACGTTCAGTCAGGAGGACATCCAGGATCTCAGCCTCGGAGGTCGCGCCGACGGCCAGCGGGGCGGCCAGCGCAATCTTGGGTCGCGGCGAGAATCCGTGCGATGTTGCAAGGGGCAGGCCTGCGCGCTTGCAAACCCGCTCCCAGACACGCATGAGATCCAGGTGCGACACGTATTTGAGTGGACCTTCGGCGGCGAACCGAATCTGCAGCCGCTGAACCGCGTCAGACTGACTCATAATCCGGCGAGCCATTCCGCCGCCGCAGTATGCGGATCCGAGATACGGGAGGCCACATCAGTGGCCAACTTGACGAGGCGTTCCTCGCCGGCCTCGGCGTGCAGCCGTCGCAGGATGCGGGCGCGGGCGAGCGATGTGATTTGTTGTCGCGCGCGATCAAAGCTCCGCCCTCTGCATCTTGCCCGAGGACTCCAACTCCTCGAAGTGTGCGTCGCAGGCTTCGGCGAGCTTCTCGATCCCCTCGCCCTGGGTTGCAATGATCGGTACGATCGGCGCATCCCAGCCGCGATCGGGATTGAGCGAGAGCAGGGCCTTCAGCGCCGAGACCATGCGGTTCGCGCCGGGCAGGTCGGACTTGTTGACCGCCAGGACATCAGCGATCTCCATGATGCCGGCCTTGAGCGTCTGCACCTCGTCGCCCATGTTGGGCGTGTTCACCAGGATGGTGGTCTGCGCCGCGCCGGCGATATCGACCTCGTCCTGTCCTGCGCCGACGGTCTCGATCAGGATCACATCCTTGCCGTACGCGTCGAGCACGTGAACGACGTCCTGTGTCGCAACCGACAGTCCGCCCAGCGCGCCACGCGAGGCCAGCGAGCGGATGAAGACATCGGGATCCGAATACAGCTCTGACATCCGCACGCGGTCGCCGAGTATGGCGCCCATCGTGTACGGCGAGGAAGGATCGATCGCGACGATGCCGACCGTTTGCCCTCGGGCGCGGAAAACCTTTGCGAGTTCGTTCGTCACCGTACTCTTGCCTGCGCCCGGCGATCCGGTCAGACCGATGGTGCGCGCACGACCGCTGCGCGGATACAGCGCCCGCAGTATGTCGCGACCGCGCTGGTCGCCGCTCTCGACCCAACTGAGAACCCGGGCAAGCGCACGCCGATCACCGGAGAGCAATCGCTCCTCAAGCTCAGCAAGCCGGCCGCTGAGCTGTGACGGGGCTGACGTCTCGGTCGTCACGACCGGTCAAGCCCAGGCACGTGGGCGCGGACGTACTCGGCGATGTCGCCGGTGTGCGCGCCTGGTCCGAAGACGGCGGAAAAGCCTGCGTTCTGCAATACTTCGGCATCCTCGTCGGGAATAATGCCTCCGCCGAGGAACAGCGTGTTTTCAGGTGTAATACCCCGCTGCCGACAAGCGTCAAGGATGCGCGGGAACAGCTCAAGGTGCGCACCGGAGAGCACCGACAGCGCCACCACATGCACATCTTCCTGCAACGCCGCTTCGGCGATCATGTCGGGGGTCTGCCGGATTCCGGTGTAGATCACTTCCATGCCCGAGTCACGCAGGGCCCGGGCGACGATTTTCGCGCCGCGGTCGTGGCCGTCGAGGCCCGGCTTCGCGACCAACACGCGAATCTGGCCTGTCATGGTGGTGGTGTCGCTCATGCTCTCAACTTCCGATCTGCGCCATCTCTGCTTCGTCCACTTGGACGGAGCGAGTCAGCAACCATCAGCTTAAGCCTCGGACAGCCGCAGCCGGGTTCCATACGTGTGCTTGGGCGAAATGAAGGCGCCGGCGTCGGCGTCGGTCACGGTCCAGCCGTTGCCGCGCAGATGGTCGACCGACGCCGCAGCGTCGCGCACGGTCAGCGCGAGCATGAACATGCCCTCGCCCGATTGATCGAGCTTGCGCGGCAATGGGCCGCCGCTGCCCGGCAACGGACGCACCAGCTCGATGTCTGTCGGTCCGATGCCCAGGAACTGCGCCTCGAGCCCCAGGGCCTCTGATTCCAGGTGCCGTCCTGGAACCAATCCATAGCGTTCGGTCCACTTGTCCTGCACCGGCGCCACCTCGCTGACTGCCACCGTCATATGGTGCAGCGCGTGTGGACCCGGTCCCGATACTGGGCCCGAATGCTGCGCAGCGTCATCGGGAGGCTGCGCGTACTCGATCAGCACGCCGTGGTTCGACTTCGGATGGATGAACCCAATCATCCCGGTCAATCCCTGCCGTGGCTCCTCGTCGATCATCTCCATGCCGCTCGCCTTGGCGGCGATCAGGTCCGAGCCAACATCCGTCGACTCGAAGCAGATGTGGTGAAAGCCCTCGCCGTTGGCCTCCAGGTATTTGGAGATGCCGGTGTCTTCACGCGTTGGCTGGAGCAGTTCGATTTCGCAGTTGTCGAGCGGGAAAATCACCCCGCGGACGCCTTGCGATTCCAACTCGGTGTCGAGCGCAGTCTCAAGACCGAACGTATCGCGCCAGACCTCAGCCGTCTTGTCCGCGTCGTGAACGGCGATGCCGATGTGGTGAATCCGTGTTAGTGCCATGTCGCTCCTGTGGGTTTAATCCTCAGCCGGCGCGCCGAATCGGGATTCGAGCTGCCGGCGATGTTCACGGTCATGTTCCAGCGCGACCCCGAGCAGAATCCGCGCCGGGTTGCCCTGGGTGTTGAGATCCGCATCGGGGACTCGCTCGACGAGGGCCGCAGTGCGCTCGCGAAGGTCATGCAACGCTCGAATCAGAGCGCTCAAATGCCTGTCGCCCAGCGACGCCACCGCTGCCGCGTTGGTCGAATCGATCCGGCCCGTGGGAAAGTCGAGCAACGATGGGAACGCGTCACCGAGGTGCTCCTCAATCGCGGCGCGCTCCTCCGCCTCCCAGAACAATCGATGGGCTGCGATGCCTTTGGGCGACCAGCCGTCTTCCTCGATCTCGAGGTCGACGGCGTCATCGGGAATGGCTGCCAGAGCCTTCAGCAGCAAGTCGCGCTCGGCTTGCCACCAGTAGCGCAGACGCTTCGCGTCCGACCACGCCCGCTCGGAGCGGCCCCCTGAGCCGCCATCTGCCCCGCGCCCAACTGCTTTTCCCGAATGGCACGTCGCCTGATCTTTCGTGGTCTAAACGACGATCCGTTCGCGGTACTCGCCCCAGACCCTTCGTAGAGCATCGGAGATTTCGCCCAGCGTCGCCGACTGCTTGACCGCGTCCATCATCAGCGGCACCAGGTTCTCGTCCGTGTCCGCAGCCTGCTGAATCGCATCGAGGACGGCCGACACGGCAGACGCATCACGACCGTCACGCAGACGCTCGAGCTTCTCTATCTGCCGTTCGCGGACCGTCGGGTCGACGCGGACGATCTCAACGTCCGAATCCTCATCCGTCTCGAACCGGTTGACGCCGACGATCACGCGTCCACGCTTGCCGGCCGTCTTGTCGCCCGCGCGGCCTGAATCGGTCTCGGTTTCGACTTCGCGCTGGAAGCTGGACGCAGCCTCGAGGATCTCAGCCTGCTGATAGCCCTGCTCAATCGCCGAGACGGCGCCGCCGAGGGCGTCGATCTGGTCGATGTAGTTGCGCGCCTCAGCCTCAAGCTCGTTGGTGGTCTGTTCGATGTAGTACGAGCCGCCGAGCGGATCGATCACATCGGCGACGCCCGACTCGTAGCCAATCACCTGCTGCGTGCGCAGTGCAATCTCGACCGCGTGCTCCGACGGCAAGCCGAGCGCCTCATCAAGCGAATTGGTGTGCAGCGATTGCGTCCCGCCGAGCACCGCAGCCAACGCCTGGAGCGTGGTGCGGACGACATTGTTGTCGGGCTGCTGAGCGGTCAGCGTGACGCCGCCCGTCTGCGTGTGAAAGCGCAGCATCTGCGCGCGCTCGTTCTGAGAGCCGAAGCGCTCGCGGGCAATGCTGCCCCACAGACGCCGCGCCGCGCGGAACTTGCCGATCTCCTCGAGGAAGTTGCTGTGACAGGCAAAGAAGAAGGAGAGTCGCGGGCCAAAGCTGTCGAAGGCCATGCCCTGTTCCAGCGCCGCTTCGACGTAGGCGATGGCGTTGGCCAGCGTGAAGCCGATCTCCTGAGCCGCGGTGCAGCCGGCCTCACGCATGTGATAGCCCGAGATCGAGATCGTGTTCCAGCGCGGCACCTCACGGGTGCAGTACTCAAAGCTGTCCGTGATCAGCCGCATCGACGGCTTGGGCGGATAGATGTACGTCCCGCGCGCGATATATTCCTTGAGGATGTCGTTCTGGACCGTGCCGCCTATCTTGTCGCGGCCCACACCCTGTTCCTCGGCCACTGCGGCGTAGAGCGAGAGCAGGATGTTCGCGGTAGAATTAATCGTCATCGACGTCGTCACGCGATCAAGCGGAATCTGGTCGAACAGAGTGCGCATATCGTCGATCGAGTCGATCGCCACACCGACCTTGCCCACTTCGCCTTCCGCCATCGACGCATCGGAGTCGTAGCCAATCTGCGTTGGCAGGTCGAATGCAACCGATAGTCCTGTCTGGCCCTGATCAAGCAGGAATCGATAGCGGCGGTTCGACGACTCAGCGTCCTCTTGCCCCGCATATTGCCGCATCGTCCAGAGCCGACCGCGATACATCGTCGGCTGGATGCCCCGCGTGTACGGGTACTCGCCCCGGCAGCGGGTCGGAGTCGCCATCGACGTAGATCGGGTCCAGCGGGTCGCCCGATGAGCGATGAAACGCTTCCCGACGCTCGGGAAAGCGGTCCGTCGCCTTGGCGTACGGCCCATCCAGCCATTCCTGCATTTGTGAGGTCATCGCCTTCTCCAATAGATGTCCCCGGACGAGGCGCCACAACACGGCGCATCGCCGCTGCGGGCAGCTCTACAGACGCACTTGCCTAGAGGCTACTAGAGGTCAATCAGCGATGCAGCGCTCAAGATCAGGCCGGAGCGATCTCACGCAGGCGCTCGACTCGATGATCGATGATCGACGCCCACTCACCATCCGACATCTCGACTTCCGCGACATCGCCAACAAACGCGCTGGGAACCACAACGTCCGATCAGGTCACGCATCTTGAGCAGGCTCTGTTCCATCGACTCGAACGTACCGCCGTATTGGTCGACGACAAACGTCACCCACTTGCCCTGACTGGGAAGGATGGTGTCGCCGGTGAAGAGATAGCTCTTGCCGTGCGGCGACTGGTAGCGGAAGCTGATGCTGCCGTCGGTGTGCCCGGGGCGTCTCAAGAATTTCAAGACCATCGAGCGCTGGATCGTCACAATCCGGTCCGACAATCAGGTCTGGTTCGGCGTCAGCGCTGATCGCCGATATCTCGAGCTCACTGCAAGCCAACCGCGAGCCAAACCGCTCACGGACGTCGTTCAACGCGGGGCTGGACTCATCTCGGTGGCTGAGCACTTGGACCGCGACGCCGCCCAGCGCCTCCATGGCGTCGAGGTCGTCGTCCTGCCCCTCGCCAATGCCATAGAGCAGCAGGTTCCCGGTCGGACGGATCAGCAGGTACGCGTGGGTTCCTACGGTGTCGTCAATCACCCGTCGAGAAGTCTGCCACAGGTCAGGTTCAAGTTGTTTCATGATCATGAGCCTCCGTGACGCTCAGACTAGGGCCTGTTCACATTGACGGCGCGATCCCAATCGAAGCGCCTATCAACTCTCCCGCTCCCCCTTGCAGGGGGAGCTGCCGGAGGCTGAGGGGGTCCCGCCTCCCGTCGTCCAGCCGGGATGTGTCACTTCTATGTCTTCATCACCCAATGTGAACAGGCCCTAGGAATCCTCTGAACAACTGGTGTCGCAGGCTGAGCAGGGACCCCCCTTCAGCCTTCGGCAGCTTCCCCCGCAGAGGGGGGAAGCGGGGATCGGAGTTGTTCAGAGCATTCCTAGTGGCAGGCGCAGACCTTCATCGAGAAGTGGTGGGCGATGGAGGACTCGAACCTCCGACCTCCCGGGTGTAAACCGGACGCTCTAGCCACCTGAGCTAATCGCCCCTGATCCCGATCATCCCAATCATCACTGCTGCGTTTCGATCACGCCCGACAGGTTATCGCCGGCGGTATCGAACTGCCCGCGGAAGCTGTCGAAGAGGGTGACGGCCGTATTCATGCCGTCGGCACTTTCTGCTTCAATCGCGTCGCGTACCAGTGGACCGGCCGCATTCGCGATCTGGGCGATCGAATCCGACACCTTCTGGTGCAGGTCCGACCACTGCTCAGGAGGTGTGAGACCTGAGAACTGATCGGTCAGGTCAGACCAAACTCGCGTCTGCGCCTCCATGTTGCGTTGCCAACCTGGGTCGCTCAGTACGTCCGGATTGTCTCGCCACCGCTCGATCAGCTCTCCGGCCGTCGCGAAGTTCGCTCGGGCGGAGTCGATGATGTTGAGCGCCGCCTCGCCGTATTCCTCGGGCATGGCCTGCTCGGATCCGGCGCCGACTTCCTCGCCACCAAATCGCCGACCAGACCCCGCAGCGTGCCGACATCGACGATGCCAACCCGCAGCTCCTTGATCAGTCCGTCGGCGCCAATGAAGAACGTCGTCGGCCTGCCGACCAGCGGATACGGTCCGTCAGTCATCGATTTGGTCGGGTCGAGCAGGACGACGTAGCTGACGCCGGTCACTTCGTAGGCGAACTTACGGGCGGTTTCGAGGCTCTCACCGTCGTTGACGCCGATGAACGTCACCCGGCCCGCCAGCTCCTGGTTGATGATCTCAAAATCGGGCATCTCTTCGACGCAGGGCTCACACCAACTCGCCCAGAAGTTGAGCACGATCGGTCCGTCAATGTCCGACAACCGATGCGGTTCACCCTCAAGGTCCAGCAACCGGAAGTCCGGAGCCAGCGCGCCCCGGTCCGAGGCGTCGCCGTCTCGTTCCAGGTAGCCAAGCTGGGTCTGTTCCTCCAGCCGCTCGATCCTCGCGTCGAGATCGTCCGAGCCGCCCGATTCGTCACGCTCCGCACGCGCCTCTTCGAGCTCGGCCAACTGAGCAGTGAACCCCGCGCCGGCGCCTTCCGTTGCGTCCCCGCTGCCTCTACCCAGGAAAATGGGCAGCACGATTGCGGCAATGATCGCCGCAGCGACCATTACGCGATTGACGGCGTCTCGGATCGAGTACGGCTTTCTGAAGAAAGTGAACAGGATGTAAGACTGCTGCTTCTCGCGCAGCTTGCTCAGGATGCCATCGGCCATCGCGCGTTCCTCCCCACATCCCTCGCTCCCCCTGCGACCGGGAGCGGAAACCAGCTAGTTGTTTTGCACCGACGGCCCGTCAATGGCCCTGACTCCCTGTCCGCTGGCGGCCGCACTCGCAGCCTGGTTCCAAAGCGTGGCCGGATCACTGGTCAGTGGATCGAACGCCTCATGATCGAGAACTAACCAGCCGCCAGCCTGAATCTCGCTTTCAAGTTGTCCCGGACTCCATCCAGCGTATCCCGAGTAAATCCGCAGATCACGAACCACGCCGACCAGCGCACCCGGCTCTGCACTGAGGTTGACGATTCCTACCTCGCGCCCCGGAAAGTCGATGGTCAGAGCGAAGGCGGATTGCTCCGGATCGACCGGCCCATCGGGGCGCGCGAGACCGATCGCGGCGGTGCGCTCGACCGGTCCGCCGTGAAACACAACCGGCGGTAGGGCAATCAAGTCCTGCCAGGCGGGCACGACATCGGCAATCGTGATCACCGTGGGCCGATTCAGCACGACCCCCAACACGCCCTCGCGGTGTTCCAGAATCAGGACGACGGTGCGGAAAAAATTGGGATCGGCGAGGTGTCGCGAGGCAACCAGGATCTGCCCCGCCAGCGAGGAATATGGGTCGTTCGGGCGCCACTCAAGAGCCATTGCCGCCACCGTCCGCATCAAGTGTGAAGCTGTACATCTCTCTCTGAGTCAGAGTATGCGATTGAGCACGGAGGCCGGGTCCGAGCGCTTTGACGACATCGCCCAACCGCGATAGCGTGCGGTAGCCTGATTGGAAGTGGCAGCGTAGCTCAGTAGGCAGAGCAGGGGACTCATAAGCCCCGTGTCGCAGGTTCGAGTCCTGCCGCTGCTACCAGCACCTTGGGGTGCGTCTGCGACCAGCACCTTGGGGTGCGTCCTTCAGATACGGGCGATTAGCTCAGCTGGCTAGAGCGTTCGGTTCACATCCGAGAGGCCGCAGGTTCAAGTCCTGCATCGCCCACCAGCATTCGCCGTTGTCGGATTTCGGATAAGCTTGAGAGGGTTGGCAACAACAAGGAGACTTGAGGGAGTCAAAGCAGACTCCGCATCGCTGCCGACGTGGCGAAATTGGTAGACGCGCTACGTTCAGGGCGTAGTGGGCTTAAGCCCGTGGGGGTTCGAATCCCTTCGTCGGCACCATCACTCGATCTCTCCACCCACTTCCAACCCGCCGTTGCATTGCGCCCGTAGCTCAGCGGATTAGAGCGCTGCCCTGCGGAGGCAGAGGTCGCAGGTTCAAGTCCTGCCGGGCGTGCCACCTTCTCGTTCCTTCGCAAACCTTTGCGTAACTCACAGGTCCCCTCTCCCCCCCTTGCGGGGGGAGATGTCACGGAGTGACAGAGGGGGGGTCCCGCCCACAGCGACCAGATACGCACTGCAATAGGGAGCCCCCCCTCTGCCTCCGGCATCTCCCCCACAAGGAGACCAATGCAAAACTCTCAGTTCCCCTCTCCCCCCCCTTGCGGGGGGAGATGTCACGGAGTGACAGAGGGGGGGTCCTCGAGCGACCAGATAGGCATTGCGATAGGGAGACCCCCCTCTGCCTTCGGCATCTCCCCCGCAAGGGGGGAGAAGGGGAGTTACGCATCGGTCTCTCAAGGGGGGAGAAGGGGAGTTACGCGCAGGTCTCCTTTGGGGGAGCCCTGAATCAACCCTGCTTGTGAAGCAGCTTCGATACCCTTGATTCCGTGACCACCGACGCACCCGACCAGACCACGCCCACCTCGCCCGAAGAAGCGCGCGCCCAACTCCAGGCGCAGGTCGCCGCGCTTTACCGGCGAAACCCGGCGTCTACACCTTCCGCGACGCCAACGACCGCGTCATTTACATCGGCAAAGCGGCCAACCTCAAGTCTCGAGTACGCAACTACTTCGGCTCGCCACGCTCGCTAGAAGGCAAGACGCGAGTGCTCGCCTCGAAGATCGCACAGCTCGAATATGTCACCACCCACACCGAGCAGGACGCGCTGCACCTCGAAGCGACGCTCGTTAAGCGACATCAGCCATTCTTCAACGTCCGGCTCAAAGACGACAAACACTATCCCTACCTGAAGATCGATGTCGATGCACCCTGGCCTCGGGTGACAATCACGCGCCGCGTCGCCAAGGACGGCGGGCGCTACTTCGGCCCCTACGCCTCGGCCAAGTCGGTGCGGACGACGCTCGATCTGGTCAAGAAGCTCTTCCCCTGGCGCTCCTGTGACAAGGAGATCACCGGCTCCGATCCCCGACCCTGCCTCGAGTACTACATCCGCCGCTGCATCGCGCCATGCACATCCTTTTGCACTCCCGACGAGTACAAGGAAGTGATCGACCAGACCATGCTCTTCCTCGACGGCAAGAGCGAGACGGTCGTCAAACAGCTCAAGACATCAATGACCGACGCGGCCGAGGAGTTGAACTTCGAACGTGCCGCGCAGCTTCGCGACCAGATCACCGCGGTCGAGCGAGTCACCGAGACGCAGCTCACCGCGGACACGTCGGCCGCCGAAATCGACGTCTTCGGCCTCGCAGTCGACGGCGACGAGGCAGTCGTCCAGGTGCTCTTCATTCGCGGTCAGAAGATGGCCGGCTCCGACCACTTCAATGTGGCCGGCGTCAAGGATGAATCGAGCGCCGCGGTCGTCTCATCATTCCTGCGCCAACACTATGAAGGTGCGTTGCAACCTCCGAAACTGGTGCTGATTCCCGACGAAATCGAAGACCTGGATCTGCTGCAATCGTGGTTGACAGAGAAGCGCGGAACGAAGGTTGAGGTCCGGCATCCACAGCGAGGCGACAAGCGACGCCTGGTCGCGATGGCCACCGAGAACGCGTCGGAAACGCTGGCCATGTCCCGCGTCCGCTGGATGGCCGATCGCGGCCGCACCGACGCGGCGCTAACGGAGTTGGAAGAAGCGCTCAGCCTGCCTGCGCCGCCGCGCCGGATCGAGTGTTATGACATCTCCAACACGCAGGGCTCCAACGTCGTCGCCTCCATGGTTGTCTTCCTCGACGGTCGGCCGGCAACGAGCGAGATATCGGCGCTTCAGGATCAAAACCGTCGACACGACCGACGGTCCCAACGACTTCGCATCCATGGCCGAAGTCATTCAGCGACGCTTCAAGCGGCTGGGAGAGGAGCGCCGAGCCGAGCGGGCCAAGGGATTCGACGTCCCCGATCAGCCTGACTCGCCCGCAACTGAGGATGAAGAGCGGGACGCGCAACCGGAATCGGAAGGCTGGGGTGCAATCCCCGACCTCGTGATCGTCGACGGCGGACGCGGTCAGGTCTCAGCGGCACACGACGTGATGCGCAATCTCGCCGTCGACGACATCCCACTCGCTGGCCTGGCCAAGCGCGAAGAGCTGCTATATCAGGTCGACTCAGCCGATCCGGTCAGGCTCGATCGTCGCTCGCAAGGCCTCTACCTCGTGCAGCGAATCCGCGACGAAGCTCACCGCTTCGCCATCTCATATCACCGCCGCCTGAGAGCCCGCCAGACCTCGCAAAGCACCCTCGACCGAATCAAAGGAATCGGCCCCAGGCGAAAGAAAGCCTTGCTGCGAAAGTTCGGCTCTTTGCAAGCATTGCGCGATGCAGACGTCACCGACATCGCAGCAACTCCTGGCATGACTCAACGGCTTGCAGAACAGCTCAAGCTAGAGCTCTGAACACTCAATCCCAGCCCGTTGCGTAGCTCTCGTCATACCCGCGCTTGCCGCGGGTATCTCGTTGTGAACAGCTCACAGGCAGTGCCTGAGAAGGCGTTTGTAGGACGCGAGGGGTGCCAGAATCGGTCGCCGGTAGTGAATGCAGCGAGATTCCCGCGACGGAGCGCGGGAATGACGAACTGTTAGAAAAGGAAATCGTCACACCAATCGCGACGCCTGAGGAATCGCGTCCATCCCCGCATACACCGCCCGCTCGCCCAATTCCTCGGCGATCCTCAGTAATCGGTTATATTTCGCCGTTCGCTCACCACGAGCCGGCGCACCCGTCTTGATCAGACCTGCATTCGTCGCCACCGCGAGATCAGCGATCATCGTGTCCTCAGTCTCGCCCGAACGATGGCTGATAATCGCCGTCCATCCCGCATCCTGCGCAATCCGAACCGCCTCCAGCGTCTCTGACAGTGTGCCAATCTGATTGACCTTGATCAGAATGCTGTTGGCGGCGCCCAACTCAATGCCTCGTCGCAGACGTTGTGGATTGGTGACCAACAGGTCGTCGCCGACGATCTGCGCCAACGACCCGATCTCCGCAGTGAGCGCTCGCCAGCCGTCCCAATCGTCCTCGTGCATACCATCCTCAATCGAGACGATCGGATATCGTCGGCGCCAGTCGCTCCAGAGCGACACCATCTCGGCGCTCGTGAGCGATCGCCCCTCGGTGTGCAATTCATATCGTCCATCAGACCACAGCTCGCTGGCTGCGGGATCGAGCGCAATCGCGATGTCGCGACCCGGCTCATAACCCGTTGTGCGAATCGCGTTGACAATCAGGTCCAGCGCCGACTCATTCGTCGCCAATGACGGAGCGAACCCACCCTCGTCACCGAGGCCGGTTGCAAGCCCTGCGAACGCAGCTCATGCCGCCAACGAGTGATAGACCTCAACCACCATCCGTAGAGCGTGAGCGAAGCTGTCGGCGCCAATCGGCGCGACCATGAACTCTTGGAAGTCGGCGCCATCATCCGCGTGAGCGCCGCCGTTGAGGATGTTGGCCAGCGGCACCGGGAGCACGACCGCGTCGGCGCCACCGATCGATTGATAAAGAGGCATCTGAGACGCCTCGGCGGCTGCGTTCGCAGAGGCCATCGAGACCGCGAGCAGCGCGTTCGCGCCGAGTCGCGATTTCTGCTCCGTGCCATCCAGCGCGATCAGCGCTTCATCGATGGCCAACTGATCGAGGGCGTCGTGACCATGCAGCGCTTCATTGATCTCTCCGTTGACTGACGCCACCGCGTCCAGCACACCACGACCGCGATAGCGACCGGCGTCGCCGTCGCGACGCTCGACCGCCTCGTGCGAACCGGTGCTTGCGCCCGACGGCACGGCCGCGCGACCCATCGCACCGCCATCGAGGACGACATCCGCCTCCACGGTCGGGTTGCCGCGAGAGTCGAGAATTTCCCGCGCGCGGATCAATGCAATCTTGGTTGACGCCACACTCGCCTCCGATCAGGCGATCAGGTCCTGACGCGCCGGCTAGACCGGCTAGCTGGCGCGGGGATGAGCCCGATCGTAGACGTCCCGCAGGTGTTCGTCGGTCAGCTGGGTGTACAGCTGGGTCGTCGAGATATTGGCGTGACCCATCAGCTCCTGCACATTGCGCAACGGCGCTGAGCCGCGCAGCAGGTGTGTGGCGAAGCTATGGCGCAGCGTGTGCGGCGTCACACCGGCGATGCCAGCTTCCTGTGCGTAGTTCTTGATGATCAGCCAGACGCCCTGGCGGGTCAGCCGCTCGCCGCGACGATTGATGAACAGCGCCACATCGCGGCGACCACGAGCCAGCTTGGGCCGTGCTTCCTGCAGGTAGTGATGCAACGCCGCAACTGCGGCCGAATGGATCGGAATCAATCGTTCGCGCCGACCTTTGCCGACACAACGCACCGAGGCGCGCTGTCCCTGCAGCTCAATCGAGGACAGGTCAAGAGAAACAAACTCCGAGACGCGCATGCCGGTCGCATAGAGCATTTCCAGCATCGCCTGGTCGCGAGCCGCCTCCGGCGTGTCCCAGCGGCCTGGCTGCTCGAGCAGCACATCGACCTCCTGGATCGTCAGCGTCCGCGGCAAGCTGCGACCCACACGGGGCGAGGACAGCTGTTCGGCCGGATTGACGACAATCAGGCCCTCGCCGCGCAGATAACTGAACAGGCTCTTGACTGCGGCAACCTTCCGCGCCACCGTCGCGGGAGCATACTGCTGCTCGCGCAGGTGGACGATGTACTCCTGGAGCTGCTCCGCGTCGATCTCCTCGATCGGCGTGACCGTCCCGGCGCCTTCGCCTTGCCTCGGTTGTTGCTCGATGAAGTAGGCGCGCAGCTGCGCGAGGTCGTTGCGGTAGGCGGAAATCGTGTTCGCCGATGCTCCCCGCTCCGCCGCCATGTAGGTCAGAAACTGTTGGATTTCGTGTTCCATATTGCCGCGTCGCCTCCTTCATGCTCGCCATCGTGGTAGTAGTAGCGGCGCCGATAACAGGCATCGGCGCTTGATCCGCTTTACCAAGCGACTCGGAAACTCCGCGTGGGTGATCGGTAATAGCAGTTATCAGTTATTCCACGTAACGTTCAGGCAACAGAATCCGCCGTTATCAGCCGACAGAACTCGCTGCGATAACCCCTGAGATAACCTAAGTCCGTGCCCTCCTCTACTCCTCCCGATTCCGAAACCACCGAACTCGTCCAACCTCAGACACAGCCGCGACATGAGCGGCTTCGTGCCTGGTGGGACGCCGGCTCCGGCGGCGCCATGGTCTACAACGAGCTACGCCGAATCCCGGCGAACCACTGGACCGATGCCCTCGAACACTTCCCCGAAGACGACGGACCCGAGCCGATTCCGCCTCCCGACCGCCCCCCGGCACGCATAGTTGATCTACCCGAAGTGCTCGCCCTACGCGCACAGCTCATGGACCGCCGCATTGCCTTCGACACCGTTGAGCGATGGATCAGAGCACTGACCCAGACCACCAGAATGCTCGACTACGAACGACCACTGATCTGGAATGCAAACCACGTCGCCACGCGGATCGTGCAAATCGTCAATGGCGGCGACGGCAGCACCTGGTCAACACTCGAGGTCGTGCGAGAGCTGTGGGGCTGGCATCCGGACCGCCCGTTCATCGAAGCCCAGAGTGAACGTCTCCTGCTCTGGCTGGAAGCGCTGCTCGCTTCCAGAGACACACGAACCTCGACGCCATGACCGCCGATGCCTCCGATCCTCCGGGTCCGCCCAGGCAGCGGATATCGCCGATTACGTTCCCATCCGCGACCCCCACACTGGCCAAGCCGCGTGACGACGAACCACAGGTGCGACGCGACGCATTTCGCGAGACATCCTTCGCGCTCCCGCTCGATCTGCGCTGGCTCAGCGACGCATTCAACTTGCAGCACAAGATCGTCGAACAGTCTTATGGTTCCTCATTCCGCAACCGACGTTATGCCTCGGCGCTCATCTTCTGGTCGCGCGTCTACAGCGGCGGGATCGAGGCTCGAGCGCTGACGGCGCGCGCATCCTATTCGGCTGCCTTGGCGCTGATGCGGGCCATGATGGAGTGGCTGGGCGCAGAACAGGCCGTGGTCGGTGATGAGCAAATCGAGTTCGAAGACTGGTTGCGCGACGCCTGGTCGAATAACCAGGAGCACCACGCGACCGAAATCGGCATGGGCCAGTACATGGCCGGCCAACAGATCGCGATGGCGCCTGATACCGCCGACGCCTACCGCGCCGTCTCCGAGTTGTCGCGACCGCACTTCGGCGCGTCGGCGCTGCTCAGTGCAGATGGTTCGCACGACAAGCGGTTCCTCGTCAACTGGTCCGACGAAGCGTTCCACCTCGGCTGGGCCCAGTTGTTGATCGGCTGGCAGATCGTGATCCAGGATCGCCAGTGCCGCTTCGCCGTCGGTAGCGGCCTCTTCGGCGTCGAGTCCGAGGACCGGCAGGAGTATCAACGCCTACACCGCCAGACGCAGACGCTGCTAGAAGACGTCAGGCGCTGCAAAGCATCATGGATCATCGACGCCGGACGGCACAGACTGCTGATCGACAACTACCGTCGCCAACCATCGGGAGCGCCCAAGCGCCTGCTGCTGTAGCCCGGTGCTAAGTCGGAGGCGGGGCAATAAACTGAAACTTGGAGAAAAAGAATGAGGCCCCGTGCGATCCGGGGCCTCGACACCAGCGGTCTGCGGTCATATTCGGCCGGGGCCTACTAACCGAACCTCCCTGGCTGAGCCAAGCGTATCTCATCCGAATTCGTTTGGCAACCGGACTTCAGAACAGGCTGATTCGGTTCTCGTATGGTCTACCCGATTGGGTTATTCCCGTAGTAGTGGCGCTGCTGGAGCGGATGGCGGCTAGGCGACTATCCAAACGCTGCATGTCCGTGTCCCCCTCAACCGCCCGTCGGCGGACACCTGCAATCAGATCGGCTACTTGAATCGCATGTGAAGCCGCGGAGTCGGTGTAGTACACACCTGGGTGGTGATTGAGGCGGCGCGTGATCACAAAACTAGCCACACATTTGTTCGCATGCGAATCTAGGCCTTGTTCTGAGCAATCGGACACGATCATGCCCGTGCCGCCCTCAGCCTCACACTCGTATGTGAAGTGTCCGATTAACACCTGGAGCTGCAGAGGCATAGTGGCAGACAATTCCATGACGTGTGCCATGTTTCGCTTGTCAATGCTGACCGAATAGACGGTGCAGTCCAGCGAACCGAGGATCCGGAGAACTTCATCAACAAAGCGCTGGAATTTGGATCGTTTCTCGACGCTTCGCCCGTTCATTTTGCTTGCTTGTTTTCCCACTGAGTGGGTCCCCGCGCTGTGGGGAAAAAAAAAAAAAAAAAAAGAAAAAACCGGACTTGCCCCAGCGATTCTTCTGTGGAGTAACTGAACATGTTCTGAGGGGATGGAAAAGCCAGCAATTACCACCGCTCCCGAACTATCGCGGGGATGCGGTTTGCCCGAATCGTCGAGAAAGAGCACCCGGGTTCTTGAGATTGTGGACATGGATCTCTCCATCGGGGCGTTTGCAGACCGGAGGTGCAAGAGGAATATAACCGCAACACTGCATGTTCGTTCTGATTAGAGAATCTCCACCGTTCTGCATCCACTGAGGTTGAGTGCACCGCATCCCTCTGCGATCCTGCAACTGAACGAGTCACATCCACACAATCACTCAGGAGACATTCGTGACGACGAAAATTGGCATCAACGGCTTCGGCCGGATCGGTCGACAGGTGCTCAAGGGCATGCTCGACTTTCACGGCGATGAACTCGAAGTCGTCGCGATCAACGACCTGACCGACTCCGAAACCAACGCGCACCTGTTCAAGTACGACACCAACTACGGCCGCTACCCGGGCGAGGTCGATGTCATCGACGGCGACCTGGTGATCGACGGCCACCGCATCGCCGTCATCTCCGAGCGCGACCCCGGCCAGATTCCCTGGGGCGACCACGGCGTTGAGATCGTCGTCGAGAGCACCGGCATCTTTACCGACGCGTCCAGGGCCCGAGGTCACCTCAACCATGGTCCGTCCAAGGTCGTCATCTCCGCGCCGGCCAAGAACGAAGACCTGACCATCGTGCTCGGCGTCAACGACGACGCCTACGACCCGGCCTTGCACCACGTCGTTTCCAACGCCTCCTGCACGACCAACTGTCTGGCGCCGATGGCCAAGGTGCTCGATGACACCGTCGGGATCAAGAGCGGGATCATGTCGACGATCCACGCCTACACCAACGACCAGGCCATCCTCGACACCGTCCACAGCGACCTGCGCCGCGCACGCGCCGCCGGGATGAACATCATTCCGACCACGACCGGCGCGGCCAAGGCCGTCGGCCTCGTCCTGCCCCACCTCAACGGCAAACTCAACGGCATGGCTTACCGCGTCCCGACCAGCACCGTCTCCGTCGTCGACCTCGTCATTGACGCCCAGCGCGCCACCGACGCCGAAGAGATCAACGCCGCCTTCGAGAAGGCCGCGAACGACCTCGAGTCGCCACTGCACGGCATCCTCGAGTACGAGACCGCCCGCTGGTCAGCAGCGACTTCAAGGGCTCCCCGTCGTCTTCGATCATCGACGCCCTCTCGACCATGGTGCTCGAGGGCACGCAGGTCAAGGTCGTCAGTTGGTACGACAACGAGTGGGGTTACAGCGTCCGCGTCGGCGACCTTTGTGTGCGCATGGCAGAGGCCGGTCTGTCCTAGCTAGGCTTAACGCCAATAGATTTCCCCCTCCCCCCGCTTCGCGGGGGGAGGTGTCACGAAGTGACGGAGGGGGGAACCGAACCCGATGGCGATGTTCGATGCACTAAGCGGCAAGCTGCAAGGCGTCTTTGCGACGCTCGGCAGGCGTGGCGCGATCTCTGAGAAAGACCTTGAGTCGGCCCTCCGCGAAGTCCGCCTCGCCTTGCTCGAGGCCGACGTCAACTACAAGGTCGCCCGCGACTACATCAAAGCGGTCCGTGCCCGAGCCAACACCGAAGAGGTGATGCGCTCGCCGACTCCGCTCAATCGCGTCGTCGAAATCATCAAAGACGAACTAGTCTCACTGCTCGGCACGGAGTCGCCCAGCCTCCAGAGAGCCTCGCAGGGCCCGACCATCATTCTCATGGTCGGACTGCAAGGCTCCGGCAAAACGACGACATCGGCCAAGCTCGCCCTCCGAGCAAAAAAGGCCGGCGATCGTCCACTCTTGATCGCCGCCGATGTCTATCGTCCAGCAGCGATTGATCAGCTCCAGGCGCTGGGCCGTCAACTGGACATCGAAGTGTTCGAGCTTGGCGCAGATGAGAAACCGGTCAAGATTGTCAAGCAGGGGCTTGAACGCGCATCCCAGATCGGCGCAGGAACAGTCATCGTCGATACCGCCGGCCGCCTGCACATCGACAAAGACATGATGTCCGAGATCACCGACCTGCGTGACAAGTTCAAGCCAACCGAAGTGCTGCTCGTCGCCGATGCGATGTCCGGTCAGGACGCCGTCAATGCGGCTGCCGCCTTCGACGAAGCTGTTGGCATCACCGGCGTCGTCCTGTCCAAAATGGACGGCGACGCCCGCGGTGGCGCAGCACTCTCGATTCGCGCCGTCACCGGCGCGCCGATCAAGTTCCTCGGTATCGGCGAGCGGCCCGATGCGCTCGAACAGTTCCACCCCGACCGCCTCGCCGGGCGCATCCTCGGTCGCGGCGACATGTCCACCTTGGTCGAGCGCGCCGAGCAAGAGTTCGGCGAACAGGACGCGAAGGTCTGGCGGCGGCGGTTGCAGGACGGTGAATTCGATCTGAACGACTTCATCGAGCAGATCAGCAAAGTCCGTCAGATGGGGCCGATCTCGCAGATCGTGAACATGATCCCCGGTCTCAGCTCGATCAAGGACAAGATCCAGGTCGACGAGATCGACGACGATTTCTTCAACCAATTTGAGGCGATCGTGTTCTCGATGACGCCCGAGGAACGACACAAACCCGACATCATCAACGGTTCCCGCCGACGCCGAATCGCCAAGGGCAGCGGAACATCTCCCCAGGAAGTGAATCAACTCCTGAATCAATTCAAGACGGCGAAGGGCATCATGAAGGACCTCGCGTTGGGCAAGATGCCAGGAATGGCCGGCGTCCGCGCCCCGGCCGGCCGTCGCTAGTGTGACTGCGCGAATCGACAGTCCCCGCTAAGCTGGATCGATACGGACCCAGGAAGATCAGACAGAGCTGAACACATGCTGAAAATTCGACTGGCCCGGCACGGGCGTAAGGGACGGGCCTTCTACCGAGTGGTCGTCCAGGATTCGCGCAAGCCGCGCGACGGACGATTCGTCGAGAATCTGGGCTTCTACGACCCGCTGACCGACCCGGCGACCTTCGAAATCGACGGCGAACGCGCCAAGTATTGGCTTTCCCACGGCGCCCAGCCGACCCAGACCGTGCATCATTTCCTGGCCAAGCAAGATCTGATCGCGCCGTGGCAACCCAAGCCGCGGAGCAAGCGAGCCGACGCGAAGAAAGCAGCCGCCGCGGCGGCGGCAGAGTAGTCTCACAGCCGACTCGCATAGATCTCGCAACGATCTCGCATAGATGGAATATTGATGGAACACTTCATCGAGTACGTCGCCAAATGGATGGTCGACGACCCCGACGCCGTCCGCGTTGAGCGCGTAGACAACGGCGACCACGTCGCCATCCAGCTAAACGTCCACGAGGATGACATGGGCCGCATCATCGGCCGCGAGGGACGTCTCGCCATGGCGATGCGCACCTTGCTCTCCGTCGCTGGACACGCCCGCGCCGTGGACACGTCGCTCGACATTCGCTAACCGGACCAATGGCGCTTCGCCTCGGACGCAACGCTCCACAGGACCGCATGCCGCGCGACGGCTACCGCGCCATCGGCGTGGTTGAGCGTCCGCGCGGGCTCAAGGGCGAAGTCAAGGCGCGGCCGCTGACTGACTTCCCGGAACGCTTCGATCCCGGCGCCCGCGTCTTCATCGCCGAGCAAGTGGTCGCATCATGAGCAGTAACTGGCAGAGCGGTCGAGTCTATCTCTACATCGAAGGCGTCGCCGATCGAGAGTCGGCGGAAGCGTTGCGAGGCGAACTGATCGAAGTTCCGGAAGACGAACGCCCGCAGACCAGCGAACCGTTCTGGTACATCGACGAAATCGAAGGTCTGAGCGTCGTCACCTCGACCAGTGAGCAGTTGGGCACGATTCGCGAGGTGCTTCAGACCGGCGCAAACGACGTCTACATCGTGGACCGCGGCGAACGTCGTGACGTCCTCATCCCCGCGCTGCGTGATGTGGTGACTGCGATCGATATCTCGGCTGGAACCATGACCGTCGACCTGCCCGAGGGCCTGATTCCCGATGATGAACTCGTTGATTGAATCGCAAGCGTCGCGGTTGTACGCTAAACCCGTTCCGCTTCAGCGTGGGGATATAGCTCAGCTGGGAGAGCGCGTCGTTCGCAACGACGAGGCCGGGGGTTCGAGTCCCCCTATCTCCACCAACTTCGCCCAACCAGAACTGAACTACGAATCAGATTCGTAACTGGTTGAGGCGAACTAGGAATGCGCTGAACAACTCCGATCCCCGCTTCCCCCCTCTGCGAGGATGCTGCGCAGGCACTGAGTCCCCGCTCAGCATGCGACACCAGCAGTTCATGAGGAGACTCCTGAGGGCATGTTCAAAGGGGAAGAGAAGATGAAAATTCGAAGAATGTATAAAACTCGCAGGCGACCCCATCTCGAGCGGACTTTGAAAACAAATCTGCTCGCATATCTTGCGAGATGTCACGGAGTGACAGAGCCGACGCAGGCGGACCAGATAGGCCTTGAGACGCTCTCAGCGGTCTATCCCCGCAAGCGAAGGGGATTACTAATCAAAGGTATCATCTGGCAGAGCGCACGAAGGCCTGAGTCCCGCCTCCCATCGGCCTGCAAGCGGAATGCGTCATTCGTCGCTGGCGCACCTGCGACGTTGACCCCGGCATTAGCGCGAGGTATCGGCTACGCGAACTGGTCCTGGCCGACGGCCATCATCTCACCGACGTACTTGGCGTTGCGGATCGACTCGCGGGATGGGTACGGGTGGTCGTAGCCGAGGATCTTGTGGAGTTCTGGGTAGCTGGTTGTTTGTGTTGTGTGGTGTTTTCTGTTTTTTGTTTTTTGTGTTTCGAGATGTGTTTTTGCTGAGGCGCTCCGCGAGACCGCGCCGTCGTCCCACTGGTTGATCATCTTCATGTAGGGCCGCATCCAGACCAGGACCAGCGTGACGCGGAGGCCGACGCTCATGCGGTTCATGGCGCCGTGCCAGGTGTTGCCGCCCCAGACCGCAGAGCGAGCCCGCCTTGGCCTGGATCGAGACCGGGTCGAGCAATGCGCCCTCTTCCCAGAAGTTTGTCTCGTGCGGCGCAGGCGCGCGGCCCCAGCGATGCGAGCCCGGTACAAACACGGTCGGTCCGTCCTCGCGCGAGCGTCGTAGCTAGTCCTGGGAGAGACAGCGCGGGTGACCAGAGGGGGTGGGCTGAAAGAAGCAGTGCCGGGCGGCTGCACGCCGCGAGCCGAGGTACGGGAGATGACGCGAGGGTGGCGAGCGAGGACTGAGGCAGAGGAAGTCCCGCCCAGCACAGCGCTCTGTCCACAGTGCCAGCGGGCCATCGTCAGCGCGACCGGATTGAGCACGGCCTCGGTGATCGCATCGTCCTCATCGATCAGTTGCCATGCGCGCTCGTTGGAAGCGGGCAGCTCGGCCGTGCGCCAGTCGTCGATCTCGACATCGTGACGGCGCTGGTAGGTGTTCAGGATCGCGTCGCGCAAACGATCTGCGAAGCCAGGCGACGTACCCATCTTTTCGGGTGGGATGACCGTAAAGCCAGAGGAGGCGAGTCGATAGACCAAACAAAGGTCATGCGCGAGCAGATCTTCCGAAGCTTTTGTTCTCTGTTCATAATCGTCTGCACCAACGGGTCGGCGTTGGGAGACTTGCCTAATGCGGCGATATCCATCTCAATGCCTGTCGTGATGAGTGCGAGCGGGCCGAGGAGGCCGGGTGCGAACGACGACAGTCTAGAGGGACGTCCAGGCGGCGATCTGATGAGGATGGAGAGGCGACTATTGCCTCTTGTCAGGCTGTCTCGGAAGTCAGCAGACCTCCCCACCTCCGTCCTACCCGCGCTCCGCCGCGGGTATCTCGCTGCGCTCGGCAAGACAGCCAGGAGCCGGCTGACGATTGCAACGAGCGCGGTTCCTCAGGTCGAGCGTCGGTGAGGCACCCGGCGAGATTTCCGCGGCGATGCGCGGGAATCACGAATCTTGTACTCCCGAGACACCCTAGCGAGCGCTAGGGAGCCATGAACAACTGGTGTCGCAGGTGAGCAGGACCCACTTCAGCTTCCGGCGCTACCCGAAGAGAGAGGCTGGGGATTCGGAGTAGAGCTTTTTCAGAGCGTCCTAGCAAATGATCCTTCGTCGGCCGTGGGTGTGGGATCAGGCAACTGACCGGATGCCCCGCCAGACTTGAAGACAGGGTCCTCAGTCAGCCAGATGCTTCTGCAAGAAGTCGATTACTGCCTGCAGGTACGCGTTGTCTCCGTCGCTGAGGCCGAGCAGATGCCAGCCCTTCTCGACCTGAAACAGCTCCGCGTTGGGAATGCCCCGGGCGGAATTCTCGGCGGTGGCGAAGGGCACATCACCGTCATGCGTGCCGTGGGTGACCAGCGTCGGACAACGAACTTGATCGAGTGGAAGCTGTTCGATGGAACCGAACTGTTTCATATCGTTGTGAAATCCGGCGCGCAATAGGTTCATCGGCGGCGAGTCGACGATCAGCTTATCCAGCAGCGCCAGCTTCTCCGGGACTGACATGATGTCGTCGATCACCCTCGCCCGATCCGCCGCCGCCAGAGTGCTCTCCAACTTGAGGAACTGACCCAGACCGACGCGAGGGAACCGCTGCAGGATGAGGCCCGAGATCCATTGAACGAATGAGTTCATGGACAGCGCAACGGTCAGATCTGAAACCTCAGGAACGTACGCTTGCGAAATCGCGACCTCGAGTATGAGCGCTTCCACGCGATCAGGATGACGTGCAGCGAACTGAATGCCGCTCGGAACCCGCCAACGAGATCGCAATGCTACTGTTGGGGTATGAAAAAGGGATTTGTGTTGTTCTTGCGCGCCTGGGGTTCTTTCGCGAGACGTCGCGTAGGGATCGTTTATGCTTTTTACATCTTGAGTGTGTGCTTTTCGTTGCGTTTGTTTCATCTGCTTAAAAAGGGCCCGGGGTCTCGCTTGCTCGGTAACCTCCGTGGGTCTTTCCTGCCTGCCATCTCCATTCGGCTTCTTTTTCGGCGTTTTTTTCTTTCGCTCGATTGCCCTGTTGTCGAACTGGGCGGGTGCTCATTTGTGGTTCCCGTTCTTAGCCCCACCCCCTCCTCTTTTTTCGCCCGAGGCCGGGGTTGGTTTTGTTTGGGCTCTTGTGTTTTCCCGAGTAATGTGCGTTTTTTTACTACTGGATTGTTTGTGTGGGATTTTTTTTGAGCGCGTCTCGCACCGGTTGTGCGTCTGCACCAGCTCTGCTTGTGAAATGTACGGCGCGGACTCTTTTTTTATAGGCGTCGCTTCAGACTATGCCGTGTTCTGGTCGGCGCCGTGTCGTGGTGGCGTGGGTCCCGGGCCTCTCTTCGTGGCGCCAGCTTGGCAATCATGGGTTCTTCGCTGTCCTTTGGTCCGCCTTGCTTGAGTTTTCATCTCTATCGCCTAATCCTTCCTTCTATTTTTAGGGGTTCTCTTTCTTTCTTCGTTATTGGATTCGGGTGCTCTCGTTTCGTTCTTGCGTCGTTATCCTGTGTTTGATTTCTTGGTATTCTTAATTTGTCCGTTGTTTGTCTTCATGAGGCTCCGTTAGTTGGATTCCGTTTTTTCCCCCTCTCTGTTTCGCTTCTTTTGGGGGGGGGTGCACTCGTCGTACTGCGGCTAGCTGTCTACAGCATCCGGAGCTTCTTTTGTTTGCTTGTTTAGGCGGGCTGGGGGGCTCATTCGCCTCTTACCCTCTTCCTTTGTAATTTGGTACGTCCTTTTTTCTTGTTCTTTTTGGGACTCTTGTGATTTGGTTCATCTCCCTTTGCGCCTCCGTTTTTTTTCGCTGCTGGGTTCTTCTTTTTCTTAGTGTGCGAATGTTTGTTATTTGGTTTACTGTCGGTCAGTGTTCTGTCGGAGGAAAGATTACTGCCGAGCCCGTGGCTGCGTGCTGTCTGGCTGTAGTTGGGATCTTTCTGTGGTGGGACTTGTGTGTTTTGTAGTTCGTCTTGTGCTTTGTTATTTGGTGCTCGTCTTTTCCATGTGTGTCTTGGGCGGGTGGGGATAACTCTTGGAGGTCTTTGTGCACGGGTTCCGCTTCCTGTGCGTGCCTTCCAGCTGGTTATGCGGCCTCAGTCCCTTTATCTGGGCAGGATGATTTTGTTTTGTAGCTTAGGGATCTATACATTCCTTTATCTGGTCTGTTTTTAGGGGGGTGGACTTAAATGTTCTTTTTGTGGCTTGGAAGCTATCTTTGTCCTTCGGTGGTTTCCGGAGTGGTTTTACCTCGTACTTCAGGGAGCGAGGTTCGCTCTGCGTCCTTCCCGTCCTGGTTCTTTCATTCTTTATCTTTTTAGTTTTTTATGGTGTTGCCCAATTTTCTAGTTTATTCCCTGCCTGCTCTCCCGGTTTTTCTTTCCTGTTTTCTTCTTTTACTTGGGTTTTGTTTTATCATCCCCTTCCTCGTGGATTCCTGTGAATATCTTTGTGTTTCCTTCTGCGGGGGGCTTCGTCTTGGCCCTCTCTGGAGGGGGGGTTGCTGGATCGTGGGTGTTCATATCGCTGTGGGTGCGTATGTTGTGTTCGCGCTGGTTGATTACCCCTTGTTGCTGGTGCGTTGGGATTGGGGGTTACGGCACTGGTGCAGGCATCCTTCTTCTGTTCTGCTTATGCTCGGGCTGCCTTTCTTCATTTGGGTGATATTCCAAATTCTGCGACTTCTCTGTCTGCACTTCTAGACCTTGTGCTTCCGTTCCTTGTTTTGGATTGCTTATCGTTCTTCACGGTGTCCCGTGTGCCTGGGAGGCTCCATTTGCCTCGACCGCTATGGCCCTGCCGGCACCACCATTTGGATTCTTGCTAGTGTTTCGTGGTGGATCTACGGGCGTCTCTCTTGCGATGGTGGAAGTCGGTTTCCGTTTATGTATTATGGGGGCTTTAGACAAGATGACTTTTATCGTCTCTGTCCTTTCTCTGGTGTGATCTTCATGGGTGGATTATCCTCTTTCGTCTCGTTATAGTTCTTGGAGAACCGTATCTTTCCGCTGGCGCCCGTTGTTGCCATGCTAGCGGTGGGATTGGAAATCTCT